AACTCACAGCAAATAAATGAACAGAAGATTTCTGTGCAGTGCTAAGCCAGTGAGACTGATACAATTATGAAATGTATGAGCTGAAAAGATGCGGCTGCAACAATGAGACCAGCTCTGTTTCCATCCCTAAAAAAGATACTGAAATGCTAAAAATGTAGAAGAGAACCACAAAAAATTAGGCAAAACTGGAAAAAATCAGATTGCACCATCACAGAGCTGAATTTGTTTAGTCTGTCCAAAAAGTGATCAGGAGTGACTTTGGTTACTGCAGACTTTTCATAGGGAGAAGAATAGGGACTAGGGATGCATTTTATTAGCAAAAGAAATAAAATAATGGCCAGTGATGGGAAGCACAAGTGAGACAAATCTAAATTCAAAGTCTCTGATTTTTAATAGCAAGGATGATTAACCCTTGGAAAAAAATGACTAAAGGGAGCAGTGAATCTCCCCTCTTGAAGTCTTCAAATGGAGACTAAATGCTTTTCCTGAAAGAATTGCTGCAATCCAGGTGAAATCCACTGGCCCATGCCCCAGAGGAGGTCAGGCATGATGATGTGATGGCTCCTCCTGGCCTTAAGAGCTCATTACTGTGGAACTGGGAACTTAAATTCATACTTGGGAAAGAACAAGATCGACTTTAAAGCAAGAATAAAATCTCTGTATAAAAAATAAGAACTTTAGCCTTGAGAGGGGAATACCCATCTCACCTCATACACAGGTTTTTCCTATGATTGAAATGCAGGATTTTCAACAGACATGTCTTGGACACTTACTAAATGCCTCTTTTTCCATCAGGTTAAAGATTACCACGTTGTAATTTTAAATCTATTGTTCTACCTTGTGTGAATGTTGCCCCCACCCAGCAAATAACTTCACATCTTCAAAGTGAAGTGAATTACAAATATCAGCTTGTTCCTGAGAACCTCAAGAACATTAAACACTGCCTTGTCCACATGAAAGAAAGAAAAAAGAAAGAAAAGCAAAGAGCCAAATCAAAAAAGCCAACAATGCTGCTCCTTTCACCTGTATGGGGTGCATCAAATGTTCCCAAGCAGCTGAATTCATCCACGGCTTCTGTGAAGCACCAAAGCCTCAAATCCATTTCAGATCCTCCAGTTGCAACATGGAGCAAAGCTTGATGCTTTCAGCGAGCCATAAATCTCACCAAGAGCTGCTGAACCACCAGGCTCAGGCTCCAGCAGCCAGGAAAGAGAGAGGCTACAAGGATTGGGAGGGAATTTTCCTGATAAACCTCCCAACTCCCGACTGAGAAGATCAAAAAGAGCTTCTAAGTGCTCCCTCATTAACAACCCAGCCCCAAATGAGAAAGCCAAGCACACAGGAGTCCTGATTTTTCCTAAATTCTCATCGCTGGAGGAGCTGCAGCCTTTTGTGCTGAAGAATTTCCCATTCATGTTCAGCGAAGTTCCATGCAGACATCAAAGGAAAACATTAAACTTCCCCGGCAAGCCTCGGGCTAACTTCAGAGGATACATCACTGAGTAATGTTTAGCACTTGGATCACAGTAATTCACTGAAAAAAAAGAAACTGCAGGATGCCCACAAGACATTCTCCACATATTTCCATAATCAGGGACATTTCTGCTGAATTACTGTTCAAATAACACAAAAAATTAGAACCCAAGACACTCAAGTGGCATCTTTGGCCTGGATCTTTCTGCTCCTGTTCCCATCCTCCTTTAAGGGCACCAAGTACATGTGGATTCCAACAGAAAGAGTTGGAATAGCACAGAGTAGGTAGAAATCAGCATCACCCCTGCCAGTTTGAGAAACTTGTTTAACTTTACCTTGTTAAATGTCTATTTTGTTGGCTGTTCCACTCAGGCCCCACTAGAAAATGATGTAAAAGGCACATTTGTCAAGAAAAACTCCTGTGTCTCCTTCCTGGAGACATTGATTATGGAATATATATTTTTCTTAAACATTCTAAAAACCATGGGATGTTGTGCCTGTAACAAGAAGTACCTTTCACTTATTTTTTGGCATTGAAATATGCTTTTTAAGTACGGTTGCCTGGCATGGTGATTTTGTTTTTACATTAAAATCAAAGAGAATTGGGACACCCTGTGCTAATTTGCAGGAGCTGACAGGACCTGCTCCAGAATCTTCCAAGCAGACTGGACAAAAGCAGTAACATTTCAGGTGGGGAGAAGAAGGAACAAAGACATTCAGTGACTTCCTCAAGGTCATACAGGGATCTATTGCAGGGCAGGGTTGAGTTCCCAAAGTCTCAGCCCACTTAGGCACTGGAAAAAGCAATGAAACAAGAGTATGTACTAAATTTGGCACAGCCTTTTAAATGATGCATTGCTCCAAGGGAACAAGAACCTCCACTCATGCTAAGCCAGACACCAAAGGAACACAGAAAGGAAAACTACTCACTCCACCCAATTTATCTGATCACCTTCATATTTCCTAAGTCAATAAGGCTTTCTTGGCCAGACAGTCCAACCTACAATTTAGATCTTATTACAAAATCAGACACACTAAACCACTTTCTCCCTCAGGCAGCAGGAGATAAAAGGCCAAGTAAGCAACATTTGGTAACTGGCTTCATGTAACAGCTTTGGATTTTCTTAAAAGCCTCAGCATCGATTGTTTTCTTTAAATAGCAATGGTTTATTGAGAAACCTTCTACCCCTTTTAAAACACAAGGTTCTCCTGAAGTAGCGAAGGGAGCAAAAACTGCCTTGCCAAGGCATATTTGTCAAAGAGTTTTGGATACCTGGTGCTGGCAAAACACTTTGAAGCCAAAGTTAACAGTGGTGCTGAAGGGCTGAGAGGGGAGACTTGGGAGATGAAGAGGAAATGAAAGTATGGGCTGACACAGAACAATCCTGGGATTCAGCTCCAGTTGTGTTTCATCCAACAGCTCAAGCCAGTGCTGCAACTTGTGAGCATCCAAAGGAGCTAAAAGCTCCCGGAGTGCAGAGCAGCCCAGCTCTGGTGTGGTCTCTGCACAGCTCGGGGCAAAAGGAGCAGAGGAATTATTTTCATGGAGGCAAATCACCAGCACCCTGCTGTTACATAAAAGCCTGTTTTGTGGGGAATGTTTCCAAGGATGGTGTCATTTGGGATCCCAGTGGCACAGTCAGGTTCAGGATGAGCTGCAGCACAGCCTCAGGAATGCTCCTGCTTTTGCAGAATCTCCCACTCCCTTTTCCATCCTCGTTCCTCCCTTTTCCTCTGCCACATTTTCATGTGGAAAACAAGCAACTGCAGCGCCTCGTTCAGGGATGTGAATATAAGGCTGTGATGAAAGAACTGAAACATCTCCCCTAGGCCTTCTGCAAACTGAATTCAAACAGATTAAAAAGCCACTATTTAAGTTTGCCTGGGAAAGTTCCTCCACATTTGGAAGCCCCTTGAGGCAGGGACTGCCCTTCTGTTCTGTCAAACAGCCACTTGTACAAGCCATGATTGCACAACTACTTTTATAAGGTTTCCAATTATACAAAGAATGTGTTTTTATTCATGTTTACAACCCTGAGAAACAAACCCTGAAACCCCAAACTCATTGCATCCAAATTCCATGACCTACTAGTGGCTCCACCAGCGATGTGGTCCCAACTATTAATTTACACCTTGGTCTAGAATGAACTTCAGAAGGAGCAGATTTCAGAGCACAGTGGAGTTAACACTTCCAAAAGTCACACTGTGCTTCCCTCCTTTCCCTCTCCTGTCCATATTTTAGCAGTCAGCATTCCTGGGCAGTTTCTGCCTGCCTTGGGCTAGAAGCTCAAATTCCAAGCAGTTGGCAGCACTGGCATTGCCCTGCTGGAAGCCACTTAACCTGCAAAGCTGGCTGCATTGGAGCATGGACATGGAACAAGGAGGGGAAGGAAGCATCAAAGGTGAAAGCACTGGGAATGTACAGCCTTGTTTTTCCCCTTGGCTGGGGACCAGCTGTGTCAAAAAACAAAAGCAGAGCAGAAACTCTAATCTACTGTAAAAACAGCAAGTAAAACAAGCCTCTTTCCTCATCTAGTTAAGCACCTTCTGTGTCCCAACACAAAATCCAGGGCACCAAATAAAAATCCAGGGAGTCACTGCCCCATCTCAACTGGGCACAGGAGCCTGGAGTCACCCAGCTGGCCCAAAGAGTGAAGCAATTTCACCTCCAGGGCACAGATGCTGCTACATTTACACCTCAAACCCCTTTGCAAGGGGCACAGCTCCTCTGTCCCTAGTGATCCCAGCCTTTCCAGGCTGCTCCAAGAAGCTGAACTATTCAAGCTGCACACACAGAGCTCACAGCACCCTTTCCACTCAATTCAGCTCATAAATCTCTGGCTGTGCCTGTTTTTTCTGAACACAGATTTTATAAGCTGAATAAACTTTACGGAACAGTTATTCCAAGGCAGCCGAGACCCGGGAACTTGATGCCTGACCACAGCCAGGCACTGCAGGCTCCAGCAGACACTGGGAAAGTTTAGTTTTTCCACTTCAGAACAAGATCTTCTTACTGGCCTGCTCCTTCTTCTGCATCAAAACACTTACTGGCTCTGAGAGCTTTTAATTTAGCTTATCCTGACACCCCTCAAGAGTTGGAAGGGACTCATCAGGATCAGAGTCCAACTCCAGCACAGGACACTCCAACAATCCTACCCTGTGCCTGAGAGCTTTGTCCAAATGCTTGAATTCAGACAGTTTTGGTGCTGTGATCAAACCCTGGGGAGCCTCTTTCCAGTGCTCAACCACCCTCAGGATGAAAACCTTCTCCTGATATCCAACCTAAACCTCCCCTGACTCAGCTCCAGCCACTCCCTGGTCACCAGAGGGAAGAGATCAGTACCAGCCCCTGCACTTGTGAGGACAGTGAAGACCCCAAGCAGTTAAAACAAAACCACCAGCTCACAAATAGATCTTTTGGGATGAGAGCCCATTTTCCAAGGAAAAAGGCAGCTGGATATGGCCAAGCACTTCCACAGCCACCGACGTGCAGTGTGAGGATACCGTCTGCTCCTGGGAGCACCTACCTTGGAAATGAGCTCATCATGGTTGGCCAGGTGAGCCCTGCAGTGAATGCAGCTGTAGGTCCTGTGGCACGAAGGCAGATATGCCTGGAAAGTCTTGGACCTTGTCATCTTCACCATTGGAGCCACTGAGCGCTGGCTGAACTCCGGGGTGGCCCAGGAGGCGCTCCCGCAGGACGGGTCGCACGGGAAACACCGGAACACGCAGGTAAAGGCCGTGGTTTGGCAGGGGATGGGTGTGTGGGGCAGGCTCCACACGCTGGTGATGCTCCAGAGGAAGAGATTTGGGCAGAGGAAGCAGGGGATTTCACAGAAACCTGCGGTGGAAAATAGGCAGAACACTCAGCTCACAGAGGTGACAGCGCTGTCCCAGCCCGCAGTGGGATTTAGGGTTGGATTCAGGAGCAGGAGCCAGGAGTGATGCCTGGGGGGTTAGATCAGGAGGACAGATATTTATTAATTTGCTGGCTGCCCTCACACCTTCCTGCTGTCATCTCCACCCATTCTTCCAGCTCTGGAAATGACTGCAGAGGTGTGACAATAATTCCCACCAGCCTGATTTCCCAAACCCCTCTGGGGAACTCGGCACTACCCCGGGCTCTGCCAGCCAGGGAGAAAGTGGGGAGCAGAGCCAGCCCTGCTGTCCCCTGGCTGACTCACTGCTGTGACACCCCAGAAGCCCAAGGGAAAAATGAGAGCTGAACCTGGGTTTTCTGGGCCACCAGGTAAGGCCATGAGTCACCAAACCAGTTTTTCTCTCCATTGTGCCCTACTTTCCACATGGGAAATGCAGGATTCCTTCATTACACTCTCCTTTATAACTCCCTACAAGCTCTGAAGGTAGAAGCTACTCTATAAACTGCACTTCAGTATTTTATTTTTTTTTATCTGAACATCTGACAGCAGCCAAAGCAAGGCACAGCCTCTGAAGACTACTCCTGATAGCAAGAGACAGTTAAAAACCCTATTCAGGATGGAAACACCATTTTACACTCTGACATCATCTGACAGCACCTGCAAGGCAGCTCAAGTCTGGGTCTCTTTTTGTTGGCAGAAATGGGAGTTTTCAGATCCCACACCTATAAAAGTCTTACCAGCTACAAGTGTTCCTTTTGAGGATGGAAAAGCATAAAGGAAACAGCTCCCCTCCCTCCTGGATCCATGGCGTGCATGCACGCTCTACAAATTAATCATGAACTCTGCCTGCTCCTCCCAGGAGGATTTTCCTCTCCATAAAACATGTGATTCTGCTCAGTTCTGAGCCTGCACTTTGTGTGTCAAACATGGAACACCATCACCCACCCCCAAAATAAAGAAAACAAGGAATAACATCTTAGGCATCCATGAAAACCTTGCCTCCAGCACTTTCCCCAAGCCTTGTCATGGTTGACAAAGCAGATTCAAGGTATCCAAACCATGGGCAGGGACACCTTCCACTGTCCCAGGGTGTTCAGAGCTCTGTCCAGCCTGGCATTGGACACATCCAGGGATCCAGGGACAGCCACAGCTGCTCTGGTTACCCTGTGCCAGGGCCTCACCACTCTCACAGGGAAGGACTTTTTGGTGATACCTACCCTAAACCTCTTCTCTATCAGGGTGAAGTCATTCCCATTGTCCTGTCACTCCCTGCTCCTGTAAATAGTCCTGGTACCAGACAGAGGGACCACGACCCCACACAGTGCTCAATAGGAGGCAGAATCCAGTAAACAACAGGACACCAAATTTTTTTCCCTTTTTTTCTGAAATATTTTTCTTCTGCTCTCCAGGAGGCAGGTCCCTTCCAGTCAAATGGGAAAAAGGCATCTTGCTCATCAGGCAAACTGCTGATAAAGCATATCTATCATGATCATAACAGTCAGCACTTCCCCAGCAGTGCTCATCCCTAAAGCTTTTTGCAAATACCAACAGATCAGATTAACCTTTTCCAATTAAAGTTACAGCCACAGCTAAGCAGGACCCATCCTGACACAGAAAGGTTTATTTTCCAGCTTGTGAGGAATTCACCCCTCTCTTGTCCAGTCCAAATGGGGTTTTGTCAGGAATTCACCTGGTCAGTTGCTAAGGACTGGGCACTGTTTGCTCCACAGCTGCACCTCTGGATTTTAGCAAAATTTGCCTTTTACACTTGTCAGAGAAGGAAAATAAATCAGTCTTCACCTGTATCCTGCCCCAGTTTTCTGTGTGCACCAGAATTTTGTCAGAACTGAATTTTGCATTAGTCAGCATTGTTTTCCCATCCACAGTGAGAAGCACTCAAGGACTGCAGCCTAAATTTGCACCAGGGCAAATCAGATGGAAACCAAAGCAGAATCCATTTTCTGCTGATACAAAACTGTCCCAAATTTCCAGGGCCCTGACTGAGCAGCTGATGTGTTTTAACCTAGCCCTTAGGGATCCCAGAACCTGGAATCTGTGAGCCTCCAAGTGCAGGGAAGCAAGAGACGTGCCTGTCCTGGGGCCAAATAGAACTGGATCCCAAGGCACTGCCTGGAGATTCCCCTGGACAGAGCACCTGGAGGAAGGCACGAGGAAGGACTGGCAATCACTTCACCTGACTCCTGAATGAGAATCCAGACTGTATCTAAACCTTAAATCTGATTTGGTGCAATCCCCTCTCACCTTCATTTCAGCATGGATCAGTAAAATAATCAATCACCACTTTTAGCACTTCCATCCTGCCATGCCAAACTTTCCTTTCCTGATCAGCTGGAGAAGGCAATCCACAGGCACCCCCAGAGCCCAAAGGAGACATAAATAAACCCCAACCAGATTAGTATCACAGCAATCCCTTAATTTGTTGTTTGCTGACCCCTCTGTCCAGACCTGCTAAGCATCAATGCTTCAGAACAATGAATAAACCAGGAAATACTACAGCTGCATTTATCTGACAGAGCAATGAACACACACAGGAATTATCTGCTGCACACAGCTTTCTGCAAAAGCAGTTCATGAACATTCATTTATTTGACCTCATAACACACTGAACATCAGCAAAAAACATTTGACCTTTTAAAAGCAGACAAAAAAAAAAATTCAGGCAAGATGATATCAGAGGAACTGCAATTCCTGTTCTCAGGGCTGTGCTGAGAAGGCAAACTCCATCTCTCTGCTTCAGGCAGAGCAAAGAATAAAGATTTGTGAGCCAAGATCATGGTGGGAAGCCTTGCTAAGAAAATGCCTTGAATAAAAACTTCAGATAAGCTTAGCTATTGCAGCTATAATTTATCAAGACACCACTTTCATACAGTCTGATCACATGAGCATTGTCTACCAAGAGCTCTGTCCTCATCAAAGTGTGGGAGAGGAGGGAAACCTACAGGAAATGCATTTTGATACCCTACAAGCACAGCCAGCAGCTTGTAAGGACCAATTTCTGTCCTAAATATAATTTTGAAATGTATTCAGTGGCTCCCAGCAATGCAAAACCCAAACCCTTGGATTTTTCATGTCCTAATGACAACTACATTTGAATTAAAAGACAATTACCAGCTAACAGCGCATTTGTTCTGCTGCAGAACAAAGGCATGAGGATGAATTTGGGCTGTGCCTCTGGTTTTCAGAATGATGAGTTCATGTTCATCAGCATCACAGGCAGTGGGCAGCAGTGGAGTCATTCCACTCATTTTAAAACAGAACAAAAGAAGGTTTGTTCACTTTATCATCATGCCCAGGACTGTCCGAGAGATGAGTATCTGTCACCAGCACCACCATCCATTATTTTTCTTTTCTCATTCAAGAGAAATTTATCTCTGGGATGCACTCACTCAATTCAATGGAAGAGAAATCTGTGCCTATTAATTAATGCACAACAAGTCAGAAAGCTGGTTTAGACAAAAGGAAGGAATTCTAAAGAAAAAGCTTCCAACATCATTAATTGTGGGTTATCAGTCAGAGAATCAGCTGAATGTTTTGCTTGCCTGCACTGGGTGTGTTGGGCTGTCCTGCTTCATCCTGCAGAGTTTTGGGCAGATATCAGCTTCCTGATGGAAAAATCACCACATACATTTTGCCACTTGGGCAGCTTTTTGGTTCAGAATCCACCCTCCACCTGTGGGTGTCCAACACCCCCTTTCCACATAAAGCTGTCAGCAATTCAGGAAACACAAAAAAAGGGAGGAAGTCTGTGCCAAGCACTTGCTAGACAAGGCCACTACGTGTACAAGTCCATATGTCAGAGAAAAAAAACATCACGCACAAGCCTAATTTTGAATAAAATCCATTTGCAATGCAGCTCAGATGCAAATGTTCATTGTGGCAGGACAAACAACAGGTTTGTTGGGTCTGAGAGTTTGTTTTATGGATTATTCAATTTTAGAGATAAACTTCAGCCTGTGAAACACTTGTTAGAATAGAGCAAATGCTACAGAAAGCTGTTTGCAGCAGCTCTGAAATAATCCAGATATTTAGAAACCTAACCTTTCTCCTTTGGTGGCTCTCTTCTCATTTATAAAGAAAGAGTTTGAGATGTGCTGATTCCCAGTGCAAGGGAAGCACAGGAGGAATGTGGTTTGGAGAATTTTCTGTGTCTAAGCTGTGGCAGCCTGGGTTGCTCTATGCTCTGAGCAGGATTCTAAAAAAATTCTCAAGGTAAGATCAGCCACTTACCAGGGTTTTCTTGACAAAAACTGCCTTAATATTCCTTAATGCAGCCTGAAGGAGGAAGGCTGGTCTCTAATTTGAGATGGGGTTTGATGCCCTGCTCTGCTTCCCTGTGGAATAGAAGTTATCACTGTCAGGTGTTGGGCCCTCAAAGACACCTGGTGCTGCTAAAGGAATATTTCATACTCTGATGGTGACAAAATATCCTGGTTTGGGGCAGTTCTGGAGACGTACAGCTCTGGGAAAGATGAATCAGATTGTCTGAAGGTGGGAGGGTGGGATGTACCTTGTGGAAGGTCTGGGAGGAACGATGAGCATCTTGAATTTAAACAGGGAACAACACAAGGGAAAGCCAAGAAAGGAGCTGAAATAGCAGATGGGTGAACACAATGTGCTTCACTCTTCAGTGTCAAGTTTCTGAAATGCACCAATTTCAAACCCTGGCTAAGGTGACACTGCAAAGAGCTCAGCAGCACCACCACCACTGATCCCTGAGTGTCCTTCTCTAACACCTCAGCTCATCCTCCAAACCCTGGAAGTAGGGAAAGAACATGAGAAAATGTGGAAAACAGCCAGCAGGAACCCCCTGCACTGACTTTTATCAGTTGCATGGACACAATTACAACACAAATAATAATATTTAACCCCTTTTCCTCCTCTGGATGTCTCCTAGCAAGTGACTTCATCTCTTCCTGCATCACAAGGAAGCATCTCATGG